AAGGCAAAAAAAGGCCCCAAAACAAAAAAAGAAACCCCTTTTCTAAAAAACAAAAAAAAAAAAAAAAAAAAAAACCAAAAATTGAAGGAATTGCTTTTTTAAAAAAGTGTATCAATAAAGTTAGAACCAGTGAGTAATAGAAACTAGAAAGGTATGGTGATATATTATTTATGATTTATTAAAGCTTGCCCGGGGATTCAGAAAGCAAAGTCAGCCACAAGCCATAGAAGCCAGACACACACCTTTAATCCCAGCAGCTAGAAGGTGGCGATACTCACCTTTAATCCTAGGACTCAGGTAGATAGATCTCTGTGAGTCCAAGGCCACTCAGATCTATGTGAAATACATCTAGTCCTAAAGAGAAACAGCTCACACAAAGAAGATCTCAGCACCTGGGATCACATGTCTTTAATCCCAGCAAGGTCTCAGTATCAGGCATTTATTCTCCAGCCACAATGAGGATAGGAAGACATTGAACTCTCAGGATTCTCCAGTCACACTGAGGAGAGGTTTCAGTCTGAGGTTTGGTGGAGCTAGGATCACCTTTCAGTCTGAGGTAAAGTGAGAGCTAGTGCCCAGCTGCTTAGCTTTTCTGATCTTCAGCTTGAAGCCTGAATGCCAATATCTGTCTCTGGGTCTTTTATTTATTGTGTTATAAAAAGGAGCTAGGGCTGTAGCTCAATGGTAGAGTATTTGTCTTATATGCATCTATATGTTCAACTTTAGTAACAGATGTTCAGAAATCTAAGATTGTGCCATAGAGTTGCCAGTTCCAGATAACATCAGTGCCAGTGTGTTGGCTTTCCTGTCTTATCTCAGGTAGATTTGCAGTAGTTGATTAGGAAGGTATCTTTAGCAATCCCAGATTCACACCATTTTGTCACCAAGACTTCAAATCAGAGGTTGTCTTTCTTAACTAAGTGTAGCCAGAGAATCTCGGAGGGGAAGGACCTCTGATCAGGTGTGGCTTTTGAAACTGTTTCTAGAATCGTGTCAAGGGACTAGACTAGTGTGATCTGACCTGGAACATCTACCCACACCTTTCCCCTCCTTTCTCACCCCTACTTTCTGTGGTCTGGAGAGTAGTCATTATGGTGGTGGAAGCTGTAGGGAAGCATCCAAGGAATAGAAAGAATAGTTATTACAGAGAGAAAGAGAAACCCAGCCTGGGAGAGAGAAGGGTGAGTTGACACTTATGTGACATGGAGGCACAGAGTATATGTAAAGATCTTCAAATTAGAAGACAGAAGACTTGTGTTACTCACTTTGAATCTTCTACCTAATGACTATGTAATGTCAAATAAAACTCATGTATAATGTGCCGGGTAAGGTGGTTTCTAAATTTTCCAACTATTTATGATTGCATTTGTCAGTAAAGTGTCTGCCATGTAGTATTTACTAAATTTTAGTGTATAACAAAAGAATAGGAAATTTTTATACCAATAAACAAAATGAGATTGGAAGGAAAGGCCATTCAAGGTGATAATTGGATGATTGTTGAACTGCAGGTTAAAAAAGGACTTTACCCATCAAACCTGAAGCTGAGATCTTAAATTATTGATATCTAAGTGTCCTCCTGCATTATTCAACCAAGTAATGTTCATGTAAAATGCATGAATATCTAACAAGCAGAGTGGGAGAATGCTGCTGTGATATATTTTTTATTTTTTTCAGCCATATGCAGTCCAGGAGCTCAAAGCAGTTGCAGGTGTGATGATTACTGCATCTCACAACCGCAAAGAGGACAATGGATACAAGGTAAGCTAATCTTTGCCTATTTTATAATTTTGTTCATATTTGAATATTATGTGCTAGGTACATTTTCAACACTGAGGAACAAAACCAGCCATTGGAAAGAGATTAAGAATGTATACCTCCAATGGCATTGACTGTTCCCAGAGTGTGTACATTACAATGGTCTCTTCATTGGGGTTTTTACTTATGTTTTCCTTGATTTCTCCATCCTATCCCAATATATCCCCTCTATAATTTAAGAAATCAAGTCATATTGTGTATCAAGAATTTGAAGAGTGAATGGGAAGAGTCAGGGAAAATAGTACTTTGACCTCACTCTCCCCTCCCTGATCTGCCCAGGTTTCTCAATGGCCATTTGCTACATCCATTCTCAGGATCCATTTGCTACAGTAGCTTCTCCATCAAAATGACAAAAGTAGAGTGGCAAAAGTGAAAGTCAGCTTGAGGTGCATAGCACAGTACTGAGCCCGTGTTTCTGACTTCTAGAAGATGAACCCATGTTTCTTACATTTTTCTTCTTGTTTGGGAGGAGTCCAGACACACTGAGTTCCATTTTAAGTAGGAGAAAGATTTCATACCAATTTAAAATTTGGGGCCTGGCTCATTCCTAGAGTCAGGGAAGAAACATAATTAATTCACTTTAAGACGTAAGTTCCAGGTAAGCAAATGTACTGTGAGCAGTTGAATGTGGAAATATGGGCTAAAGTTATAGATTTTACAGGTTTTAGGAGTACCATATTTATTAGAACATATAGGATTAAGTCCTTGACTTGGATGTACAGCCAAAAGACAAGATAAGGTAGAAGGAAAAGTCAAGAACAGACCCTAGAGAATATTAACTTATTAATTTAAGAGAAATAAATGGAAGGGGAAGAAAAACATACTAGAGATAGGAGAAAAGCCAGAAGAAATTGGTGTCATTAAAGCCTAAAAGATTGAGAGAGTTGCAAGAGTTAGAAGGCAGCTGTCAGCAAGAGCAAGGGCACAGGTCCCTTCCCTGAGCGTCTGATTCCTATATCCAAGCACCTACTACACATCTATGGGGATGTCTGGCAGACATTTCAAAACTAGTATCTCTTCAACAGAGTTCTTGATTCCCCACAGCTGCCACATATACACCCCAAGCTAGTCCTCCCTCAGTCTTCCCTTTTTGTCAATTAATATTACCACCTACCTAAACAGAAGTGAAAACCTGTTCTTGACTGCTTCCTTTCCCTAATATTTAATCTGCTTACAAATTCATCTAAAATATATGTACACTATGTTTACCATCTGCTTATATACTCCACTGTTACCATTCTAAGCCACCATTGTTCTCCATCTGACATGTTGTGGGGCATCCACCAGAGAAGACTTCTCAGACATGACTGTAGGTCAGTAGAAAGTCTTTATTAGCCAGCTGGCTACTACACTGGGTGTTTGGATCCCAGTGTTGCACCAAGCCTTTCTCAGTGTGAGCTTTTAAGCACAAAAACATGTTCTTAGTTGACATACTCCAATTAACAAGAACAGTTAGCCAGAAGTAGAACTGCAAAAGCCAAAAAGCAAGGTTTGTACATTCAGAGACTTTCCCAGAACTACGGATATTGATAAATTAGGTCTTTGTTCTCATTTTGGCAGGTGGTACTGCCTACCAGTTGAATTTTATGGTCTGAATGGTACTTCCATCATGGAGTCAGTTGTGCTAATGTCAGGGGATCTACTAAAGTCTGAGGGCCTAGTGAGGTTTGAGTTATACAAACCGGACGAAGTATGCTAGCTGATCTCATCTCTACTTCCATGGTTACCCCGAAAACTTTTCTTCACAAAAGCAGTTAGGTGGCCATTTAAAATGTATACATATCCAAGCCATAGGTGGTGACCCAAGCCTATAGTTCCATTTTGGGGAGGAGGGTTGCTTGAGCCCAGGAGTTTAAAACTAGCCATATAATTTAGCAAGTCCCTAATCTCAGAACAAACAAAAGGCCAACAAAAACTCTTCTTGTTTAAAGTTCTTCATTGACTTCTTATTCTTTGATAATACGAAACCAATCTTCTGTTGATGGACATTCCATTTAGTTCCGGTTTTCTGCTTTGTATTTGAGATGCTACAGAGACCTATGCTTGCCTTTGTTCATATATGTCCCTTTTGAGACAGTATAATATCTAAGAGTATCAGTTTGGTTCAAAACTGACCTCTGCCACTCAGAAGCTTTGTGATCTCAGGCAGGTATATTAAATCCTTTGTGTTTTAGTTTAATTATTAACAACCTAAGGATAATTATAGAGCCAATATGATAGAATGAAAGTGAAGATCAAAAGTCATAAAATTCCTACCATAGTGTCTGACTCTGACGTGTTCTCAGTAATGGTAGCTGTTGTTTTCATTCTTAGTATCTGTAGTTTCTTTATATAATGTAGCTACCAATGGCTAGTAAACACTTAAAAGTATGGCTAGGCTGGATTGAGATGTTAGAAATGCAGAGTAGTAGCTTATTTTAATGACTTGGTATGAAAAAAATGTAAAACATCCTAATAATTTTAATTACATTGTATTTTGGAGTTATAGAAAGTAAATTAAAATTCATTTAATATATTAAATCTTATTCCATCTATTAAAACTTTAATTATAAAAAGAATATAATTCACCATATTTATTCTGAATCTTTTCTTTTTCTTCTTTCTTTTTGGTTTTTTTTGAGACAGGGTTTCCCTGTGTGGCTCTGGCTCCTTGGAACTCACTCTGTAAACCAGGCTGGCTTCAAACTCACAAGAGATATGCCTGTCTCTGCCACTTGAGTGCTGGGATTAAAAGCATATGCCACCACCACCAGGCTACTCTGAATCTTTTTGATGTGGCTGCTAGAAAAATTTAAATTACCTATATGTTTCCACTTGTAGATCACATTATGTTTTTAGTAGACATTACTGTTTCATAGGATACTTTTTTTGAATTTTATCTCTCTCTCTCTCTCTCTCTCTCTCTCTCTCTCTCTCTCTCTGTGTGTGTGTGTGTGTGAGAGAGAGAGAGAGAGAGAGAGAGAGAGAGAGAGAGAGAGAGAGAGAGAGAGAGAGATTCACCTTCATGTGGAAGAAGATAAATTTTTGTTATAAGATATATTTTTTAAAGTAAAACTTCTGGTCCAAAGGAATATGCAAAGGGAGTGAGTGGCTTTATGATCTGGAGAAACACTCCCATATTCTAAGACACATACACACAAAGATTTTATAAGTTCTGAATGCTTCCAGTGATATGTTATTTTTAAAATTTACAAAATACTGTCTTTATCATATACTTATGTATACTATATGTATAATAAGCAATATACCAACTGAGCCACATTACTAGACCTTAACTTTGTTTTCAAATGGAAAAGTTACTGCTGTAACACCATGCAAAAATGAGGTGGATGGGGTAAGGGGTTGATACTTGAAAAATAGATAAGAAGAGTTACTTTTTTTATTTTACAGGTAACAAATTTCTACAAACAAATAAGAAAAAATCAAAAGAAAGCCCTTTAACAGATACAAAGACATAAATTGGGAAAAAAAAATCCAGATAACCTTCCATTTGGTGAAAATGTTAGTTGCAGCACTAAAGCCATAATCCATGGGCTCCAGAATTGACTGGGTAGACTTCGTTGATACTAAAGAAGACAACCATAGAATGGGAGAAAGTGCTTATAAAAGATAAGTCTAATATTCAAGCCAGGCAATAGTGGCACATGCCTTTAATCCCAGTACTTGGGAAGCAGAGGCATGAGCCAGCCTAGTCTACAGAGCAAGTTCCAGGATAGCCAGGGCTACACAGAGCAATCCTGTCTCAGAAAAACAAAAACAAAATAAAATATTAAAAGAATTCTTTAAAACTCTACAATAAAAAAGAAAACAAAAGACATCCAAATACTCTAATAATGCACCTCACCAAAGAAGACACACAAATGACAGATGAGTGTATGAAAGGGAGCTCCAAAAGGAAATACAAGTTGAAAACATGTAGCCATAGACCTCTAGAATAATCATAGTTTAGAACACTTAACATCAAATATTGGCACAAATTTTAACAATTAAATTAAAAATGTACTTATTTCTGATGGTACTTAAAAATTGTACAGCCATTTTGGAGACAGTTTAGCAGTGTCTTACAAAACTACATGAATCTGCTTTTGCCAATTGATTCTGTATTCAGACTTCATGGTGCTTACTCAAAGTAGTTGAAGACTTTGTGCACACAGAAGCCTGTACCCAGATGTTTTTGTAAATGATTAAACTTAGGCAAAGCCAAGATATTCTCCAGTAGGTGAATGGTTATTCAGAAATAAACAATAAGATATTATGCTTCATTAACTAGTAAGGTATCAGGGCTGGAGAGATGACTGAGTGAGTTACATGAGGACCAGTTCAAATTCCCAGCACCCTTGTAAAGCTCTAAATATGGTTTTGCATGCCTATAACTCCAGCTTTGGTAGGTGAACAGCAAAAATTTTGGTTTGGTGAGAGATTCTGTCTCAAGGCAAAATAATGGGGAGTGGTAGAGGAAGGTACTGGGTGTGTTCTGCCACACACCCATAGGTACCACATAACTCATACACAAATCACATAAGCACACACAAATAATTGATAAATGATTAAGTGAACTGTCTACCCCTTCAAATGAAGGACTCTTAAATAGTTATTGTTAAGTGAGGACAATCATCTGAAACATATGATTCCAGCTATATAATTTTCTGGGAAATCTAAAACTGTACACATAGTAAAAAGATGAGTGGTTGCCGGAAGTCACATGGGGAGGGAGGATGAATAGACGGATCATGGGATTTGAGGACCAATAAAAATACTGTGTATGGTATTGCAGAGGTAGATGTATGCCTTATGCATTTTTCCAGTTCTGTAGAATGTACAATACCAAGAGTGAACCCTAATGGAAACATTGAATTTGGAATATAATGGTGTGTCAGTATAGGTTCATAATTTTTAAATGTACCATTCTGGTGGGGAATCTTTTAAGAGGGTGACCGTGCAAT